GGAAGCGCGTGTTCTCGCCATCTGCGAAAGAACAGAGTAGAAATTCAATTAGCATTGAGAAACCAAACCACACGATAGGAAAGAATAGATGTGAAACTTTTCCTAACTATGTAGCCTCTAGGGGATAAATACGGACGTCTCCATACCGATCCCTCAGACTCTACTAAGCTTGTCTGTGAATTGTGAGACCCATGTAACCTAGAGCTCTAATACCAACTTGTCACGACCCGGATTTCCCACCCTCGGGAGTCATGATGGCGCCTACTAGTGAAAGCTAGGCAAGCCTACCATTTGAATTATTTACCTTCTTCCCGTTTTAGTCCTTTTACAATTAATAATCAACAATTGATAAATATCGGAAATCTAATAAGCGAAAGACTGAAATGTAATAATTTAAGAAAGATGCAAATACCAATCCATACAATAACTACCCAAGACTGGTATCACAATTTCACAGACTGTCTAGGAATACTATAAATAAAAGTCTGAAAGATTTATTACAACACTGTCTCTGAAATATGTAAAAGAAACAAACTAAGAGGATAGGAGAAGACGCCAAGGCCTGCGGACGCCTGTAGGGCTACCTCAGAATCTCCGACTGGACTGAAGGCAGCCTCCCAAAGCTACAGTCCGAAAGCTGCTACTCCGGGATCTACACACAATGCAGAGTGTAGTATCAGCACAACCGACCTCATGTGCTGGTAAGTGCCTAGCCTAACCCCGTCAAAGTAATGACGAGGCTAGGACCAGACTACCAAATAAACCTATGCAGTTATATTATATACAACGGAAAATAAAAGCAAAAATATACAGTTAAAGATGGGGGGAACATGCTGCGGGGGAATATCATTTACCCATAGTAACTTAGGAGGAAAGCATAAAGAACAATTTGAAATTCGCAGCAGAAAGAATAAGAAAACCGTGACAAATCAATAACCACTTTTATCCCTTATTGTTGCGGTGCGCAACCCGATCCAAATCATTAAAAAAACACTGTTTGCGGCGTGCAACTCGATCCAAATATAATATTGTTGCGGCGTGTAATCTGATCCAAATGTAATACTTTTGCGGCGTGCAACCCGATCCAAATATACTATTGTTGTGGCGTGCAACCCGATCCCAATATACAATTCAACACCAATCACAAAGAGTCCCGACAAGGGAATAATAAGGGAACAACAATATCCCGACAAGGGAGTTGACACTAAGAAGTAAATACGTCCCGACAAGGGAATTAGCTATAACCAAACTTGTTCGAACATTTAACTTCACAAAAGAAACCTCATCTAGAGCCAATACTCAACCATAAGCAATTTCCACGAGATTAATCATAACTCTTGCCCAACACAGAGAGTCAACAACTTAGGCATTTGTAGTACTTATTAAGAACACAACAATTTCAATTTAAGACTCACGGGCGTGCTAGACACCAACGTATATATACTCCTCACCATGCCTATACGTCGTACTCAACAAATAACACATAGCAAATAGGACACAACTTCTAATCCCTCAAGCTAAGGGTAGACCAAACACTTACCTCGATTCCACGAACACAATTCAAGCCTCAACTACCGCTTTACCTCTTGATTCCACCACCAATTTGCTCGTATATAGCCACAAGTTACTTAACTATATCAATAATTGCTAAATGAATCAATTCCAATGCATGAAAATAGGTTTTCTAAAGTTTTTCCCAAAAAGTCAAAAATTGACCCCGGGCCTACATGGTCAAAACCCGAGGTTCGAACCAAAACCCGATTACCCATTCCCCCACGAACCCAAATATATAATTTGTTTTGAAATCGGACCTCAAATCGAGGTCCAAATCCCCAAAATTTGAAAAATCTAGGTTCTACCCAAAACACCCAATTTCCCCCATGAAAACCCTTGATTTTGAGTTGAAATCATGTGAAAAGATGTTAAAGATTAAAGAAAACGAGTTAGAATTGACTTACAATTGATTTGGAAGAAGATTTACCTTTGGAAAATTTCCCATGAGAGTTTATGTTTTGAAAGTGTTTGAAAAATGAAAGATTTTCGGCTAAGTTATGAATTTGCAAGTCGCAGATATCGCAAATGTGAACTCGCAATTGCGAAGTATGCCCAACTCTGCCTTCTTCGCAAATACGAACTGTTGTTCGTAAATGCGATACCTGCTAAGGTCGCAATTGCGAATGTTCCCAGCCAATCTTCACAAATGCGATGGGTTTATCGCAATTGCGAGTCATGCTTCGCAATTGCGAAGCTTGCAGGTCTGAAAAATACTAGCAGTTTTCCTAAGTTAGATTTCACTCTGCGGCCTATCCAAAACTCACCTGAGCCCTCGGGGCTCCAAACCAAACATGTACACCAACCTAAAACCATCATACGGACTTGCTCGTGTAGGGCTTTCCAAGGTCTTGGAGCTCGTACCGGATTCGGGGGTTGTTGTCTTGTTGGGTCCGATGGCAAGCACTCCGTTCCGGCCTTAGTACGAGAAAGTTCCCTGCTTCGATTCCGATTCCATATAGTTAGTCCTCACTTCGTTTGACCCACTAGAAAATCGGTGTGCTCATTAACCCCGGTTTTACCCGTATACAGATAGTCCCCTTGTTTCCTCGAGATTAGGTTTGTCGAAACGATGGAAAATGATAGACGAACCTCAGTTCCTTCCTTCGCACATTGCAACCGAGATGGGGGATAAGACGAAACGTCTCATCAGTCACATCATTCTAACGTTGGACACGTGTCGTTCAACAACTAGTTGCCTCCGAATGTGAAATGCCGCGAATTTCCTCTTAAAAAAGCTTTGGCCCTTTGTTTTTTTTTTCCTGCTTTCCAATTAAAACTTCCACCTTCAAATCTATTAGCGATTGTTAAGTTTTTCAAATCTTTATACCTTCATCTTTGGTCTTTAAATCTTCATAGTTGTTCTTAGGTTTCTTCCTAGATCTTCATCTTTCCTTCAAATTTTCATACTCTTTTCTTCATCCTTCATACTTGTTCTTTGAACTCTCAAATTTTCTCAGATAGTAATGGCTAAAACTTCCAAATTAGTTCCTTAACCGGCTGCCTCTTAATCTTTCCACCTACCGAAGCAGCCGTTCTTGAAGTGGTTATTCTCGAGACGACTGCTTCCGAAATGGTTACTCCCGAAGTCACCGAAGATACCCTTCCCATTATCCTGTCCGAGAGGACTGTAAATGGGGAGGTAAGGACGTGGTAGTCCCCGGGTCTGAAGACGATATCACCACCCATGTGGAGGAGTATTTAAGTGCTTACCCTTATCCCTTCATACTGGGCCCGGTAGACCCAGTCGTTTTGGATTTCTGCAAGTGATACGAGATGTGCCTTGGGAAAACCCACCCATCTCTTTGGAGGATCGTTGGGATGAGATGGTTGCTAGTAGAATGTGATGTGATGTCGACCCACACGTCACTGTGATGAGACGGCTTAGCCGATCGGGCTGAGATAGGACGCCATGCCGTGCACATGGTGTTGTTGTGATTGGATGTCTTTGGGTGAGATGGCTTAGCCGATCGGGCCGTGATCGAACTCCGTGCTAATAACACGGTGGTATATCGGTACTAAAGATCTCTCAACTTAAAAATATTGAAATTTACCTTAAATTTACCTTTCTCTTAACTTGACACGTTAATATTATTTGAGGCTCTCCTTGATTCCATGTTTCTTTCTCACTGTACTGTTACTCGTTCTATTGAAAGGGTGTTTAGTCCCACATACTAGTACTATTCCATATGTACTAAGCCGGGGGTGCTGCATCTTTAATGGATATAGGTGGTTCTACAGCAAACGACATCGATCAGTGGTAGCAGTAGACTCTCTTCTCAGCTGACTTGGTGAGCCCCATTTTATCTCGGGGTCATGTATATTTTGTTCCTTATGTATAATGCTTTGAGGTATAGCCGGAGTTTTTTTGCCGACACCATCATACTTTTCTTTTGTATCCATTAGAGGCTCCGTAGATATAGTGTGGATTATATCTTGGTTTTGGGAAAGTCAAACTAAAAGTGTTGTATTTGCATCACATGTTTCCACTTCTAAACTATGAATGTGTAATGTAATATTTTGTGAACTCTTGAATGAAGTTCTAATAATAATGAAATGGTGTTGTCCATGTAAACTTCTCATTGTCTAATTAATGGAATACATCTTTACTTTATTCATGGATAAGGCCGGGTAGATAGCATCTAGTAGGCTTGCTTGACCGGGATATCTCGGTTGAGTGCCGATCGCACTCCCCGAGGTCAGGGTGTAAGAGAAACAAAGGAAACACTTAATGAGAAAAAATCAAGACGTAGTAAACGTCAAAGAACAATACTTCCTTTGAACTAGATTTTCTAACATTCTTGTTGGAAAATGAGTTTCAAACGTTTGAAGAAGAAATGTCTTTATCGAAAGAACAATATGGGAAAGAGTTAGTCAATAATGAAATAGAATTCATATTAAACAAATATACTTAGGAATTGGTTGATCTTACTCTAGGGATCAAACCTTTAAGTTCCAAATAGATTTTCAAGAGGACTTGAATTGACAAAATATAATTTTGCTTTGCTTTTCAATACACTAGCAAGCAATAAGCAGAATATTTATATGATAAAATCTTGAGAAATAATTCTAGAGCTTGTTACCACTACTTTTAGCCTTTTCTTCCCGGTTGCCCGTCTTTGACTTATCCACTCTCTTAACTCAATGATCAATCATTTCGTAAATGGTTTGTAATTGGTATAGATACAGTAGGTGCTAAAAGATCTTCGCAAAAAAGTTACTTCAGCAGCACATTCGGTATTAACGCTTGATGAAAAGTGCACATAAATGGCAAGTTACAGACTCACAGTTTACAGAAATAATAATAATAATAATAATAATAATAATAATAATAATAATAATAATAATAATAATAATAATAATAATAATAATAATAATAATAATAATTGCATATGGTACAACATCAAACTCCATAAATTATAAATAAACTCATTAATTATACACATAAATTGATAAAGAACTTGAGCAACCTTTAACCGCACTCCATTCAATGGCAATAACATTATCTGCTAGAGTACTACTCTTCTACTACCATCAAGACGAAATTCTTATTACACTTCTAAATGTGGTGGACTATCATGATACACAAATTACGATACGGAGAGCTCACTGTTCCAGGCTTAACAAGGCGGATGATAATAGAACTGATTTAAAGGGCAGATGATAATAGCATTTTTATGCAAAAAAGAATTGAAAAAAGCAGTAGTAGATCGAGAAGAGGCCGCCTGGGATTCAGCCTACATGAAACGAATGCATATGCATAAATGAGAGAAGCTGACAGTTAATACCACCAGAGAAATAGTTGTCTGGTGGTCAGATTTAATCCTAACATACAATATTGATTAACTGAAGAAAAGATTAATGCACATGTTGCTCCCCTTTGCATCACCTGTATTTCAATTGGTGATTAACTGCTTATATAGTGTCAACAGACAGAAAACTAATAGGCTGGAATCTTGAATGTGTGTTGACAGCTTGACATGTTTCTTCTACTACATGCCCAAAAGGTGGATCATTCTCCTTAGAAGAAATATCTGTTGTCCTGGAACAACCAGACCGGATTTCCTTAGAGTGGCCTCCAACTTGAGAATTTCCATCTTACAACCGAGGTTTCATCTAGGATGCTGGTTGACACATCTCAGGTCCCAGCTATTTAACCATCAGACGAAGCTTCCTAAATGGACTTTGGACATGAGAAGCACGAACCAACAGAAGAATACAATTAATTCCATCAAAAACTGCAATTGAAGAAGTTGTGCAGGAAGTTCTCATTGTGATACAAGATGGTGCAAAACACACAAAACGGAGACCTGATCTAGGTCTTCTAGCAGATATATGTTTAATGTTTTTGCACAGGCCTGAACTGGCCCAACCTCCAGCAAGCCAGGATAGGGAAAGGACTCAATAAAACACCAAACTGCAGAATTCAGTGACATTCACAATTTTAAATTTTAACAGGATGAACTTAACCAAGTTAATGCATGACAGTCGCGGTAATGTACCTTAGGTCAATACTGATGGAGCCTTAGTTCTGCTTTCATACTGTTCCTTCCATAATTTCCAAGAAATCCTTACTTCTTCCAATTGGGATTCTGGAATCCTTGTGTTTGCATCCAGTATCTCTACCCAGTCACTCCAAGGATATTTTGCGGGGTCCAAAAATTTAGACAGCTGAGTTAACATTGTGGAGTAATAGAACTCATCTACTGCCTTGATAATATCTTCGGATTCCAGTAATGTCAGCATTTCAGGTCTTGTTATGTTGCCAGGTTGGTTTCTCAAAGCAAAATTGTTCCCCTTCAAAACCAAAACTTCCGATGGGGCTAGGGGTAAGACAATCCTTGAAAATTTGCATAATGACATTCTCAAAACATCAGGTGGTAGAAGATTGCGTTTTATTGCAACTGCAGTCCCCACCATTTTGCGTATCTGAGTAGGAGCAATAATTTAGGCTTAGACATACACAGCATATCTTATCAAGAAAAACACAGATCAGAACAAAGCAAATGTAACAAGAGTAAAGACAAGGAAGAGCTGCATGTAATGAAACTGTAAAAAGAAAAACAACAGTTCAATCTGCTTAAATAACCATCAATCATAAAGTTGTCACTGGCCATCTCCTCGGCACATGCGTGGACTCAAATACGAGTATCCCATATAGTTATGTATCCAACATGCATACATCCAAGTTCAAACAAATTCTTGGCGTATCAAATAAAAAATCCGGTGTATTTTGCAGGATCTGAGAGATGGATTCACACCCATGTCCAACCCAACTGACATGAGTTCGTCAAGGCAAATGAGGATCTTGGTAAGGTGCACAGACCTCATTGCTTACCAAGTAGCACTCTTGTGCAATGGCAAACGTATGTTCCATTTTAAAACATTAGAAAGAATGAACAGAGCAAAATGATAAATCAAGAGAATTACTTGATGTAACATGAATGATTCTCCACAGATAGAAACTTCAACGTAATTCATGCTCAGCAACTTCTCCAACTTTCCACAATGACAGTGAAAAATCCTTCGGAAATGGGCAGAGCTAAGCTTATCTCTTGCATCAGTTTCATGGAGCCATCTTGCTAGGATTGGTAACGCAGAATATAGTTCCTTTGAATGACTGAGTTTCTCATTATAGTTGCCTGCCTGATTTCTAGTAGACAAGTTGCATACTGGATTTTGATTTTCATCCTCAACAGTTGTCACAACCCCCTTCTCTTTACAGTTTTCTTCTCCATCGCTTTCCTCACACCAAGATATTTCTTCCTCAGTCGAGGGTCTCCCTTTTTTTAAGAGACAATCATATTGTAACAATTTTCTGGCAGGAGAATGTTTCCTGTACTTGGATCGTATTGTGTAGTTGTGGAAAGGATGCTCTCCCTGCAACCCAGTTCACGAACTAAGTGAAGCGGCAGAATAATTATTTTTGTCCCAATAAAAAACGATCAAATATCAGAAAAATGAAATCAGTATTTGACTTAAGAAGTCTTGCAGGTACAGACTGAAGCAAACTGAAATCCTGTAAGGTATTCCATATAAGCATGAAACAAAACCACTTATCAAAGAAGGCATATGAAAACAAATAAGAATTTAAAGAACATGAAGCATAACCATTAGAAGAAGAGAAGAAAACTGATAGACTTAAAATTACCTCGAAAGAGTTCAATATGTCATTAAAACTGGATAAATGGTAATCAATTTCAGAAGAAGTTGAGCCATTCTTTATCCCGATGATTTCAGCAGGAAGTAGATAAGAATACTTGCGTGCATTACACTCCCTTCTGGCATCAAACCTCCTGAAGCTCGGTTATAAATGAAGTGAGTATGAAGGAAACAGAAAAATCATAACTGCTATATCAATTTCAAACTGAACAAAGACAATATCAAGGACAGCAGACAGACTTTGGCAAATGGCTCAAGTCAACCAAGATCATGCAACAATGTAAAGAATGAAGCTCTGCCCCATATACTAATAACTGAACTCTGACTCAAAAAGAAATACATATAAGAGCAATCTTTCCCTTACTAGCATTATGGGCCCAGATTTACCCATATATCAAAATTAACTTCTGCACTAATCAAAACATAAGGCCCTGAACAACTGCTAAAAAAGGGCAACATAAGGTAAGGCACTGAACATTCTGCACTTGGATGCTTTTGATGCTATGTCGTAGCCTTCCAACCAATGGAGCATATTAGAAAGCATATCTTTGATAGCACCAAGGATAGAACATAACCACATGGAACACCTGTTGAGGAATCACCCTGACGACCTGTAATGAGATCTGTTACGCGGGCATTCCTGAGATTTCTTGGAAGGGCGACGTAAAGCTAAGCAACCAATGTCCATGTGGTCACTATCCGCAAACTGGGGTCCCTCCGCACGCTAGATGAGACTGTCAGTGTCGTATGGGAAAACCAATGTCAAGAGCAATTAAGAGAACAGAAAAGAGAATGAGAATGAAAGAAAGCTTGATTGCATTAATTAAAGCTATTACAGAAAGGCAACACGGTGTCGAGGGGAGAGATACCAATACTGAGAATTGTTTGCTTGCTTGAAAGTTTGATTACTTGATCCCCTAATAATTCTTAAAAAAAATAAACCAAAGTTACAGGACTTGACATAACTAAGCTAGAAAGACATAATGGAAATATAGGAAGTAAAACCTAAGTTGAATGGACTCGGGTGCGGGTGTTCGATACGGGTGCGGATCTAGAGGTCGGATCCTTCATGATCCAAATTTTAAGATTCGGGGTACGGATACGGGTGCTGGGATTCGGCTAAAGTAATTCAAATATTTAAAAGCAGAGTTATAAAAATGTCTTAATTATAAAATATTATGTAGGAAACTTATAACGTATTTCGAGAAGGAGAAAATATTGATCAAGAGGAGAATCCGAGAAGGATATAAAAGGAAATAGACTGACATAGAAATTTCTATATACAATGATTTGAATTAAAAAATCATTGTATCTGTCCCGCATTTCTCCGTTGATTTTGGTCAAAGTACCCAAAATCGGTTGACCAGATCTGGTACGGATCCCACACCCACACTCACGTCGTGACGACACAGGTGCAACACCCAAAGTGAAGAGTCCGAGCAACTTAGAGTAAAACTACTCTATATTTACAATAAAAAGGACTTAGATTCCTACAAGGTAGAAGCATGTCCGTTGGCGGCAACCTTGTCTTTAGCATCAGAGTCTGCGCATGCGGCGCTGTTGGCATCTGCCTGCGGCTGGCCGCTGGCGAGGGCTATCGATGGGGCGACATAGGCACAGTCGTGCTTGTCACTTGGCACGACCAAGACCACGGGGTCGTCTGTGGCGCTAGGCGTTTGGGCTTTGACAAGATAGCTCTGCACTATCTCTAAATTTCGATTCCATTCCTCGAGAAGCTAGCAACTCGAGAAGATTTCGACATGTTTGGGGCACTAACAGAGTGTGGGAGTAGCGATTGCTGTCCGAAAACAATTTCAAAGCGCTTTTGTTTGTTAGAGCTCTTTTGTAAATTGAAACATAGTTGAGCACAATCCAGAAGCTTCACCCAATTCGTCTGCGATCCGGTAACAAAGGAGGTATTCCTCCAGCATGCCATTGAACCATTCCGTCTGGCCATCAGATTGCGGACGGAAACTTGAACTGTGGCTCAACTTGGACCTGAGGCACTTAAAGAGCTGAGTACAAAAGTTGCTAGTGAAGCTAGAGTCGTGTAACTAACGATGTCTTTCGGCAGGCCCCAATATTTGACAACATGAGAGAAGAAGAGTTAGAGTTGTATCTTCTGCTAATATATATTTTGGGGTTGCTATAAGTGTAGCTTATTTAGAAAACCGATCCACCACAATCAAGATAGTTGTAAGATCTCCGACCTTGGGCAATCCGGTGATGAAATACAGTGACACGCTTTCCCAAGGTCTTTTTGGAACAGGCAATGGCTCCAAAAGACCTGCTTGTGTCAAGCGGTCCGACTTGTCTTTCTGGCATACTAGGCAAGTCTTCACATACTGAGCAACATCATGATCCATTTTAAGCACGGCGCAACAACACCATGGTGCGTTCTTCAGCTCGGTGGCTGGCCCACAAAGTATCATGGCATTCCATCAGAAGAGTCCTTCGCAGATCTCCTCCTCCAGGAACATAAAGTCGGTTCCCTTTCACCTTCAGGAACTATCTTCCATGTAGAACTGGCGAGTGTGCAGCAGGATCCTGGGTGAGTAGATCCCGTATCTGATCATTTATAGTGGTGGCCACTTCGCTCCTCCCATAGGGTAGCGAGTAAGCACACCGATGCTATGTTAGCCCTCCGACTTAGCGCATCAGCAACTTGGTTGGTCTTCCCATTTTGGTACTCCAGGTTAGAAGTGAAATTCCGCTAGGAGTTCCTGCCACCTGGCCTTTCGGCCATTCAGCTTTGGCCGGGTCATAAAATGAATAACAGTCGTACAATCCATATCTTGCCACACAGGTTGTCTTGTGTCTGTCTCCCTCAGCAATCCGAACTTGCCACCCAGTCTATCGAACAAGTCTGCCATTAGCGGAATAGGGTACTTGTTCTTCACGGTGATTTTATTTAGGGCTCGATAACCCACAGAGAGTCGTAGGGTGCCATCCTGTTTCTTTTGGAACAACAAAATGGACTCATAAGGGGACTTGGAGGGCACAGTGATCCCCGTGTACAGCATTTTCGTCAACTGTCTCCGAATCTCGACGAGTTCGGGTTGTGACATTCTGCAAGACGCCCGGGCGGGTGGCTTCGCACCCGGCACCAACTCAATCTCATGGTCCACAGTGCGCCTAGGCGGGAGTCGCTTTGGCATGTCTTGTAGCATGACGTCTTCAAACTCCTTTAGCAGCTCCTTCACGGGTGCAGGAATGGGACCCGAAGAGCGTTCAATATCTTCAATACAGAGGGTAGCCAGGACCGTAGGTTCATGTCTTTTGACTCCCTTCTTCAACTGCAAGGCCGAGATATTCTTCGCCGCCATCTTTTTGGTTGTGCATGGGATAATGCAGGGGCTTGGCTGCGTTGGATCCCATCATCAGTAGCATATCTGCATAAGGTACAAGAATGGTGTTGGTTTGCCTGATGAATTCCAATCTAACTATCAACTCGAATTTATCTATGATCACCACACGCAAGTTGAACTTTCCTTTACAAGGACCAAGCTCACTGGCACTCCTTTGCCTATTCCACCGATTGGCTGAGGGGGTAAGTTGATAGCCTTGACACGACCTTTGCCCTTTCCCACAACTAGACCAAGGCGCTCTACCTGAGTTGATGCTAAGTAGTTGTGAGTAGCGCCAATGTCTATCATCTCCCTAATGGGCTTGCCATTAACTTTCATTTCGACGAACATTAGGGTCTTCTCTTGGTTAAGAAGAGGCCCCTCATCCGCCTTATTTTTTCCTTTCTTGGTGGTTGGGCATAGGTCCTTTTTCTAACGTATGCCGGCATTGGTTCCCGCTAAGGCCTCAAAAATAGAACAAACAACTGCGTTGAAGGCACCTATTGGTTCTGTTTGGTCAGCATCATCTGTGTCGTCATCCGTTTCCATCATCAAAAATTTGACGGGCGTTCACTTGTGCCTGTGGGCATTCATTGTTCCAATGTGGCCCCACGCAATGACGACATCCTAAAGGGGGCTTCCTCCCCCAATCGTTGTAGTGAGACGCAACACTATTGCTGCCTGAGGAAGGAGTCTTAGATTTGGTTGCACTCCAATCTCCCCCACGTCTATTAGGGCCACCATTGTTAGGTTGGCCCCCATTGTATCATCCTCGGACAGGTGTTTGAGGCCTATCTGTTATACCACATGTTTTCGTACGTGAGAATACGTCGTAAGTCAATTGATATAAGCTCAGAAATGAGATCATCTTTGAAAGTACATAAAGTAAGTTAATATCATCTTGTGAAATATCGATTGAAAGGCTTGTTAGTAATGTTGTTGATTGTTGGACTATTTGGGAGGTGTTCTTGCAGCATTTTATGGCTGGAAAATTTATGGAATAACCTGAGTTGTATATTGTGTAGTTATTATCATTTTCTTGAATATAAATAAGAGGGAAATGGCTCAACATATAGTGTTATTAGACATGAATAAAGCTTGAAGCTCGACGTGTTATTGTGTTGGTTGTGTTCCATATAGCTACTGATTGTTGTTTGGTTATTACTGCAATATAGGACGTGGGAAATGTAACAAAATCGGGGGAGATGCTGGTTGTTTTAATATAGAATGAGCTTGTCGTTCGTTATACTTTTAGTAGCTTAATGATAACATCATTATTGTGGTTGTGGATTAAGGTGCGACTAGTTGAGTTCAGCGTGGTTATTGGGCAAATTGCTACAGGTATGTACAGGTTAAACTCTTCCTTCATTTTCGCATGATCCCGTAACATGTGTTTAATAACGAGACATAAAGAGAAGTTTGTATTCCTGAACTTATGTACATTATCCTAGTCTCATAAATTACAATATTCTTCGTTATCGTGACTTTATATTCAATTAAGTATGGTCTTCTTCCGGTCAAGAGAGCAAAGGTTCTATATATACGTACAATATTATAGTATTTTCACCACCATCGAGCTATAATCGTCGGGCAGGCCCCAATTGGGCAACCTCTGATCAGATGGTAAGTTATACCCCGAGCCTAGTATGGCTGAGCGCCTATGAGCGAGGCTACTACGGCAGAACAGTTATACGTACCGAGCCCTATAGAGTCGGACAGTTATTTTAGTTATCAGTTCAGTCTCACCTTTCAATTATTCTGTTGCCTTACATACTGGGTACATTATTTCGTACTGACGTCCCTTTTTCTAGGGATACTGCATTTCATGCCTGTAAGTCCTGATAGATAGCTGGATAGACCTTCGTAGTAGATAGAGCCAAACATCAGCTTGATTGGTAAGCTCCACTTCCCCGGAGTTACCAGGTTTTTTGAGTCCATTATATATAGATTATATAGGTAGGTCAGGGCCCTGTTCCGACCATAATACATCCATCAGTAGAGGCTTGTAAACATATCCTGTCAGGCAGTGCAGTATGTTGGCCTGTTATGTATATTTTTTTGGTTTGTCTAGTTATGACGGCCTTGCCAGCCCAACTTTATATTGATGTTCAGTTGGAGCTAGTTTCTATTCAGTTTTATATTTTGTTTCACAAATTGTCCTGCAAAGTGGCCCTATGGCCAAGTCACATTATATGTTTAGAGTCCCTCAGTCTCAGGTTGGTACGCTCTGCCAAGTGAGGCACCGGGTACCGGTCTCACCTCACTAGATTTGGGGCGTGACACTATCCTTTCGAGCTTCCACTTGGTAGTCCCCAAGGCATTCCGCTGCTTGGATCGCGTTGGGTAAAGTGTCTACCCTTTGTCTTTGCAACTCCATACTGGCACAAGGTTTCAAACCTTCCGGGAAGGTGAAGAGTTTGTCTTTGTCCCCCATATCCCGTATGTTCAGCATGAGTGCGGAGAATTCCAGCACGTAATCTTGGACTGACTTGGTCTGGCGGAGCTCCCGGAGCTTTCTCTGCGCAGTGTACTCAACGTTTTCGGGGAAGAATGGTAGGCGTATGGCTGCCTTCAGGCCTCCCCATGTCTCAAAAGTATCTTCATCTGCTCTGATGGCTTCGAATTTTACCCGCCACTAGAGTTTAGCATCACCTTGAAGATACATGGCAGTAGTTGCTACCTTTTTATCTTCTTCTATCTCCCCCACGGCATCGAAGTATTGTTCGATGTCGAAGATGAAGTTCTCCATTTCCTTGGCATTCCGAGCCCCATAATAGGGTTTTGACTCAAGAATCTTCAGCTTTTGTGGCACAGGGGCGAGGTTCACAGCACCCCTGATCTGGTTTCCACCTCCTCGAAGTAGGCCTTGTAATGCAGCGTTGACAACATTGAGCTGACCCGTCAAGTTGTCTATGGCTTGTTGCATGGCAGTAACCATGTCTGCCTCCTGTGCCCTATAGGCTAAGTCCTCGATCTGCTTCTGTTGGAGGCCCTCGAAATTGCTGAAAATTTCGACGACATTTGTGGCTGCCGTTTGTCGGTCTCCTTCAGAGTCACAACTGATGTTTGCACTATCACCTTCGGTCTGCCGCATCCTGCAGTCCAGGTCGTCCAATCTTTCCACTGGGTTGGTTCTTAGATCAGGCACCATATTCACGATGGGTTGTAATACGTTTACCGTCTCTTCAAGGGCCGCAATGCGGTCCCATGATTCACTATGGTCAGAAATGGTGGTAATGACTTCCCTCGTACGATGTCGAGCCTAGGCTCTGATACCAACTGTTACGCGGTGCCTTCCTGAGATTTCTTGGAAGGGCGATGTCACGCTAAGCAACCGATGTCCGTGCGCTAGACGAGACTGTCAGTTCCGTACGGGAAAACCAATATCAAGAGCAATTGAGAGAATAGAAATGAGAATAAGAATGAAAGAAAACTTGATTGCATTAATGAAAGTTATTACAGAAAAGCAACACGGTGTCGAGAAGGAGGGACACCATACAGAGAATTGTTTGATTGGTTGAAAGTTTGATTACTTGATCCCCCTAATAATGCTTAAAAATAATAAACCAAAGTTACATGACTTGACATAACTAAGCTAAAGAGACATAATGGAAATACAGGAAGTAAAACTACTCTATTTACAATAAAAAGGACTTAGATTCCTACAAGGTAAAAGCAGGTCTGCTGGTAGCAACCTTGTCTTTAGCATCAGAGTCTGCGCGTGCGGCGCTATTGGCATCTGCCTGTAGCCGGGCACTGGAAAGGGCTGTCGATGGGGCGACATAGGCACAGGTGCGCTTGTCACTTGGCGCGGCCAAGACACGGGGCCGTCCATGGAGCTAAGCGTTGGGAGGCTTGCCAGGACGCCATGGGGCGCGTCTAAGGGGTCATGGGACATGGTTGGAAAGCCACCCATGACAGATCGCATGCCAAGGAACCCCAAGAGAAGTTAGTTGGGTAACAGATGAAGATCAAGAAGTAACTTTTTCTTGAAAAGGAGATAAGAGGAAGGGAATTACCTTATAAATGCTTTCATGTGCTTGTGACATCATCGGAAGAGGATATGAAGCCATTGCTTCAAACTTGAAATCGTGGCTCACAAGTCTGAAGCTACAAGATTGGAGTTTCAAGAGTTGAGGCCGTGGCCTCAAGCTTGAAGCTGTAGCCTCGAAGTCATTTTCACTCACCGGTCATTTGAGGCCGTGATCTCACAAGTCTGCCGAGATTTTTATTTAAGGGCAAGTTTGTCTTTTAATACAGTTACCTGGGGAACTATAAATTAGAAGCCTAGACACGTTTTTAGCAGCTTTTTATGATCATTGACATTACTTTGAGAGACGAAAATTCTTCTCCTTTGTTCTTTGAACAACTCTTGATTTTCCAGGTAAACTGATTCCTTGTTAACATTTCTCTGTCCTTGATAAACATGATTGGCTTTTCTATCCTAATTACAAAGTGTTTCATTTCTATAAGTGGGATTGTGGAGTTGAATTAGGATTCATGTTGGGTTTCCAGGGCTAATTTGTTGTCTGAATATTAGCAACTTTTTCAGTTTCTATACTGATTATTGTGTTAGTTTCATGCAACACATATCTTTATTTGTTTTAATCAACTCGTTCTTTAGATTGATTTGAATCCATTACAAACTCTAGAAGTCATGGTCAACTACTGCTTCCGCTATCTTGAATGTTATCATTCTTACTCTATGAGTTATGCTTGCTTAGCTTTTCGGGTTAGCCCAAAAAACTTGGTTGCTATTGCTCAAGAAGCGGGGAAGGAAGTACGTCTTTATTTTCACCTCAAAGCTTGAAATCTGCACATTTACATGCTGTTTTTTTACATGCACTTTAACATGCTTTTCCTCCAACAGTTAATGATAATGGAAATTCAGTCCTCAATGTGCTGACTTTTAATGCTTATCAGTTAAGACATGAACAAAAGTGAAAGTCACAGGCCAATGAGAGAAAACAGGCAAAATTCAGAAATAAGAGAAGAATCTCACTTTTTTGAGGGTAGGATACTGAAAACTCTGATGTTCTCTGGGAGGTATGAGTTCACACAATTAGCAAGAGAAATCCCGTTTGGGTCATCCTGCCATGCATCTTCCGGGATCTCCATTTTAAGAGATATCATGGTCGACAATGAATGAACCTAATGTGTTTTGCAATAGAATCAACATTATCGCAGGAGAAGACAATATTTTAGGGGAAAACAAAAAAGAATGCGAAGTGTAAGTTATAATAAATCTCTAGCTTACTCCTTTATCTGTTCGACTACTTCTCGCCCAACCAATTTTATATAAGTTTCCAAAATTACTGTCTCGAATACCTCCAGCTTTGAAGATAGCTTTTTCCAGTTCACCTTCAATGGCTGCATTACAGAACTATAATGATTTAGCAAAACTCCAAAACCTCACACGTGATGGTTAGGCTGATGGAATATGTATTCAAGTCAAAATTTACACAGTCGGTAAAAGAATAGAGGATTTGCACAGGGAAGGTTCAATTAAGTTATCATAAATATAACACTGAATGAAGTTCAGGCAAAATTCTCCTTCCAACCTAGCATATTCATGAATCAGAGGAGCCAATTCACAAGTATAATTATACAGTATTCCATTCATGTTTCACTTCACTTGATAATACATTTACCTTGAACACCCAAAATGCTAATCTCTCAAGTAAGAAACAAGCTAGTGATCCAGATGAAAATTACTTTCAGTGAATACGTTAATCACATAAATTACTAAAGAGTCGCACATTGGTATAGGCCATTTTCCAGTTATAGTTGACTACCATGCGTTGTTTTAAATAAAACTCAATTAACAATACCATCAAAAATCAAGAAATGGTGGGTTTTCGCCAATGCTTATCATAAGTCAAGCAAATCATAAACGCCAAAAAAAAATATATGAAGAAAAAAAAACATAGCATTGCCATGCCATTTCTTTTTCTACTCTCCACATGAAGAAGTTGGTAGTAAATGAGCAATGCAGAAAAATTAACTTCTGAAAAGGTATCATATTTTTTCTGGCGGTCAGGCTCGGTCTTTTAGGAACTGAATCCTAGTTTTTGTAATCATTTTACGTCTATTTCAGAAAGCAGTAGGCTGATTGTTTCTAATTATTTGTTCAGCCCGTATAGAGGCTAGATTTTGATGGATATACTCATTCAAAATTCATCGTTCTCTGTCTATTGTGAAACTAAACTTTGCTCCTCCGTTTTAATTTATAGCATTTGGTACAAGTACAGGACCCTAAACCTCCAATCTAGACCCTAATTGCAACAAGTAGAATAACCGAGGACCATTGAATAATACCTTTTAACAACTGATGTAGGACATTTATATTCCCCAATACCCTCACTTTATACCATTATCACCAAAAAAAAAGTCCTTAACATCAACCGGAACGTACAATTCGATTCTAGGGTTTACGGGTGGATGAAACTTCCTTATTTCTTATTTGTTTTTCCCTTTTGTAGGCTTAATTTTTTAAAAGAATGAAGTGACTCAACAGGCTGAAGAATAGCATTCAGCATAAATTGCAAGCTTAACAGGTTGAAGAGTGGTTTTGGTGCAAGGCAAGAGTTGACTCAAGATGCTAAAGAGTTCTCCTACTGTTGAGTTACTGACTCGATAGACTGAGTTGAGAGAGAAAAATCCAGAGCAACTCGATAGACTAAAGTTGAGAGAGAGAGAGAGAGAGCAGATTCCAATAAAATAGATCGAGATAACAGAACGTTGTTTTGAGATGAGCTTACCAAGTTTGGCTATGATACGGTACGAAAAACAATCTGAGCATCAAATATTTATCTGAAAAAATATGAGTATCCACCAAGACCTTAAAGAAACGAGTGAAATAACCCAGACCAATATAAACTTCTTTGAAAATCCTTAAACATGTATATTCTGTATCAGTATCGCAGCAACTATGTTTTTATAAGCTTACATTCTCTCTCATGGCATATAAAGCTTCACCCAGTGCTGCATTCTCCGATTAATGGTCATTATGACCATTGAAGGGTTTCATAGAAAATTTCCTAAAATCAAAAGAATAGTGGATATAGTTTCAAAAGTTATACCATAACTGCCAACTTGAACAACAGAAGCACAAACAAAAGGGGTAAATGGGTTGAAACTAAAGAATTTGAAGGCCAGAAGCTATTAATATAGGCAACAGAATGCTCATTCTTGGAGACAATTATTGCAAAGATACCTCCAAGCACAAACGAGACTATGAAAAAAGCACGAAGATTCTGCCAGGACCTAAAGCAACTAAGCAAGTAACATCAGGTACTCCAAGTTCGCACTCTAAACAGAGTTTGAGGCTTTGCGGAGGAAGTCAAAGAATCAAGCACCGAAAACTTCTCTCAAGTAATGGCCATTGCCGACAAGATGAGTCTGCATGGTAATAAGTCAGCTGTTATTGGTTTCTCATCCGACCATATCTAGAGGAGCAAGCCCTTCAAGACTTTACAAAGTAGGCAGAATAACACCAAGGAAGAAAAAGATTCAGGAATGAAAAAGTGAAATCTCATAATCTAGGAAAAAGTGCCTTTGATGCTAAGGAATAAGAACACTTCACATCCTAGCATGTAATACAGCACAGGAAGTGTGGTAGGTGCACACCACAGGTTCATATTTGGCTGGTGCTGATCACAAGTAGTTCTTTCTCCAAAATCCTCCTTACTACTTAGTAAGAATACCACCTCTAAGAAGTTTAAGCATTTCTTAGTAAGCTATTTATAATTCTAAGTTCAAGGAATGATTTGAAATGTAGTAGCAAGTGAAAATTGAACACAAGACTGACTTCGACCAGATTCTTTATCAATATCTTGACCCTTGCTTAACTCCTAGTTCAATAAACAAGTCTCTGATAATCGGATCCCGAACAGAAGAGATACTTCCCCCTGCTAGGAGTAGACAAATGGTAATATTAAAATAAGGGAAAGAGATCGAAGGAGATCTTTCCAAACCAATCACAAAGGATGAGAACGAAGCAAGGGAATGTGCTGAGTGCTAGAGGTGTTATAATTTGGCCACTGAAAGCCTCGATGCTGAACAATATATCAAAGCACAACTGAGAATCATCAATTGCAGAATATGGCCAGAATACATCCTTGTCAACAACAACAACAATAACAAGACATCTAAAAAAAAACTTAGAATGGAAAAATTAAAGGAAAAAAATCAAATAACAACAGAGAAGTGTGAATTCTTGGCTAGCAATTTCTACAAAAGCTCATAAAAACTGTACAGCCCAAGTACATCGAAGATAATAGTTGGCACGGATACTTTTAATGGGAAGAGTTTTTGCAGTGGGGCAGAGGCGAAGCAAAGCATCATATGCCTACCAATATTGATGAGAAATAGCAAACCTATGGTAGAGAAGCAGCATGATCTCGAATAGCCTAAGGAGTCAAGTGAAGCTTAATCTTAAGTCTGACCAAAGAGTAATCTGCTTGGATGGCAGATCATGAAGTAATGGAAGATGACACGTAGAATTTTTTAATTTTTTTAATTTTTTTTGGCTTACAGAAGGTCAGAGAGCATCAAAGTAAGCAAAGGATAAGAAGATGTCAGCCATTAAAAGAACTCGAGCTAACAATGGCGGAAAATCAAAAAGAGGGCAGGAGAATGGGTGTTGAAGACAAAGAATGAAGATGTCAAACACAAGGTCAGAATTGTAGCAAAAGCGTACAAATAGGACACTAAGGAAGTTTTTGAACTTAACTGCAAAGCATGATACAATCCGATTGATTTTGCGACTGACAGCTCAAAACCAATGGCCAATACGTGTAAGAATTGTTAATTAGATAAAGTGTGATCCACTTTGCAGACCACTCATCTAGCATGAATTTCAACAAGGTTTCCAAAATACAAAGATATGGATGGAACTACAAATAGATAGTAGGAAGCCTGATGAATCACAAGCTCACCTGACATATGTACACAATCAGCATAATCAGTATGTATATGGACAAACCTATACAAATATTATCTCCTTGCAGCAAGTATTTGCAAGGCACAACCAGCCATGGTTTTCTGTACAAGAAAGGAGGAAATTCAATGTTGATGAGGTTGTGATTACATGGGGACCAAGACAAAAGGAATAGCACCACTGAATTTGTTTTCATGTTTGGATCAAACGCAAATTCATGACCATCCAAGAACATCTGATAATAACCCCATCCACTCTACAAGCAGTGTTTGTAGCACCAGCAGCCTATGCATGTCAAGCTATTGCTGGGTAAATCTAGTGCAAGCAAATAGAAACTACTACCCTGTATAACTACAGTCGATAATAACTCAATAATCAATTTGTCCAAGAACCCAAGCAAGCATATATAAATAAGGTATCATTTTCAGGAGACCTCACAAATGACACCATATTTAAGTTGCTTAGTTCAAAAATCAAGACCAAGCAACAAATAACCTTCGACGGAGGTGGGCTTTCTCAAGTTTAGAGACATGTTCTATCTGCTCATAATAACAATTTGACCCCATGTAAACTATGTTACAAACATCAGTTTAAGAGAAGGATTTTTGGTGGTCTTTTAGGAACTGAAATCCTAGTAGGAGAAAATATATTCCATTATATTAGGAAGAATATCCAGGTTGTTACTTGTTAGCTGATTTATGCCCATTTTATTGCACCAAAGGGTATTGCCTAGCAGTCAATAAAGCAAGAATGGACCATGGGAGACCAAGGTACAAATCTCAGAAGTGGCAAAATAAGCAACTACTCGTAAGTGATTTACTCCCATCTGCCTAAGCCTTACTAGTCAAAGTTAGTTACTACTTGTGCTGGTGAAAGGTAGAAGATATCTAGTAGAGTAGTCGAGGTGCATGCAAACAACCCGAACACCACTGTAATTAAACAATGCCCATTTTATCGTATTCCTGATGCTATATGTTAGCTTGTATAAATGCTAACGGTAGCATTTGATGAATAAGATACATCCAGAATGCATCCGTCCTTTGTCTCTTTTAATTCATAATACAAATTCAAAACAGAAAGAATAGCATCTTACTGGATAGTTCATGTTCATCTCTTTGCATTTGCAAACCTGCCACAAAATTGAAGAAATTTGTGATTATTAGTTTAAAACATTTCTTTTTGGACAGCTCGTGGAGAGAAAAGGAGACCTCGATAATCAGAACCCACGTATCCCACGCGCATCACCACTTTCTTTTTAATGAAAGGCTCCCATTTGTTGCTCCTCGCCGGAAATATGGTGGAAGGACTTGTTGATTGAGGCGGCGGCGGAGATAAGTCTTCAGCGGTGGTGGTGTAAGGCTCAGAAGGTATTACAGATGGTGAAGTGGAAAATGAACACAGAACGGTTAGAGGCTTTGTGGTGTATGAAGAGAATCTGAGGTTAGTTAGAGGAATCAAAGGAAGACGAAGAGAAAGGGCTGTCATGGCTAGAGAAAACTATCCACAATGAACACACAATCCCGCTAAACTACTGTTTTGCCAGTAATAGAAAGGATAGTTACATGGGCCAAATTGAATGAAGAAAAGGGCACTTTGATTAACTCAAAGTTAATTAAGAAAATTTGGGGATTGATTATAAGCTATATTAATCTATCTATAAAGCGTTTACAATCAGTAAAGTCAAATTTATAAGTACTTTCTAGATAAGTGAATTAATTTAATTCTGAAATAGTAAAAGAATTGAACAAATATGCAATACATAGCCTTGAGATGAAAACGAAATAGCATAAATAATAGTTCCGGGAGCAGGACTTCCGGGCACAGTGAGCACGTTATTTTTGCTCTATACAAATTATTCCCAAAAATTTCAAAACAAAATAATTTTTCCATTATTTGCGATTTTTGTGGATTTTAGTGGTATTTTCTGTTATTGTGTGAATATTGTCTGTGCCTGTTTATTTTTAGTAATGAAAAATACAAAAATATATTGTAATTGCATTTAGGATTTAATTTGACATTTTTGAATTAATTAATAATTAGGTGTTTTATAAAAATGAAAAAAAAATCACAAAAATAGTTTATTCTTGTTTTTTTTTATTTTTTAGTCTTGAATTTTAGTAGTTTTTCCTTTGATTTGGTACTTAATTAATTGGGTTAATTATTATCTAGAGATAATTAAGTTAATTTTGTGGAATAATTTGGTTTAGGGATCAATTTAGGATTTAAATTAATTTTGAGAAGAAAATAGTTTGGAAATAAATAGAAAGGGAAAGGAATTCTTGGGCCAATTCAATTTAATCCCCAAGCCCAAATCAAATACACCTAATACCCAACCAAAACCAACCCAAAACCCATGCCATACCCGGTCCGTTCAATTCAGACTTCAGAGACGACTCAAACGACGTCGTTTCAGTGTCAACCAATCTCAACCATCCATTCCCCACATCCAACGACCAGGACTTAACACATTACCCGTTTAACCCGACCCTGAACCGTTTCCCCCTAAACCCGATCCAGCCTCTAATCCTAATAAACGACACCGTTCAAATTTATCAAATAATCCAAGCTGTTGATCTCGTTTGATCGAACGGCCTGGATCCAATTCCACCCCTAGTATATAATTACCCAAACGGACCCCGCCCCCCTCAGAACCCCCCAATCTCATCTCTCGTCTCCCTCACCCAAACCCTAGAGACCAGCTGCCACCATACCCTCACCGCCTTAAGGTGGCGGCACCGGTTCCGTTCACCACCAAAAATACACCCCAGAACCACAACAACTTCCTTTTCTCAAATCCCAACTTCACTTCCTTCGAACATCTTTGGAATTTCTCGAATTTTGATTTAAATGGATGAACCCTAGCAGCCGCCACCATTCCCCACCACCTTTCGGTGGCGGCGGCGCCTCCAAACACCTCCAAAGTTACACCCCATGATCATCAAGACCCCCTCTTCCCAAATCCTTGCTTTGTTTCTCTCGAATATGGCATGAACCCTTCGAATTTCAAATCTAGGGTTCGAGCCATAAAAGCCCAAAGCCAAATTCAGACATGCAAGACTACGCCTTCAAGTTGTCTCAAGTATTCAGGACGGTTTGGTCACAAAATAATGTTGCTCGTTTGTTCTTGGCAAAGAACAAATGATTAACATTATTTGGGGACCAAACTGGATTATCAGTTGAAAGTTCAAGTGTAGGGTGAGTTCATTCCTATTTTTTACGATTATTCTCATTAGTATTATTTTGATATTCGTCTTCCTCCTCTCTTTTTCTTTTTTTGGTCAATTTCAATTGAAATTCGATCAGTTCTTTGGTATAAATTATTTCTATTCACTGTTGTTTCTTTAAGATTGGTTTTGTGGATTTGTTTCATATAATTAGGATATCAGCTTGTTTTAAGACTGTGAAATTGCATCTCGTTTAATCACTTAGTCAGAGTAATTGAGATTGTTTCAATAATTTGGTTTAACTTCTTGTTTAATTATGTTGATAAGAATGGATTAGTATAAGTTTTAAGTAGTCACCTAATTAAGAAGCTTCTATAGTGGTAGGGTTTAGATCTCACTACTGAATAAACTAAAACCTTAAGAATTGAGTGGAATCGAATTTTAAATGTTGAAAGGTCACTCTGTGAATCCAAAAGGCATTTCCCATTGCCTATTTAAGGAAACAGCACACTGAGAAAGAAAGAATACAGACTGGATACTGAAGAATACAGAGAGATAGAGTACAAAGATAGAGAAAGGAGAGCTTAGAGACTTTAAGCGATAGAAAATCCAGAAAACCAAAAACGGCTGAAGTTCTGAAACTGCACTGATTTCCAGCACTTTTGCTTGATAAAAATTAATCAAATTATGTATTAAGTGAGTCTTTCTAATTTTTTTCATGAGCTAAAATCTCTAAAAGCTTCACATTCTGCACTTGAGTTGAGAAATGGTTTGAATTTGGGGGTTCTGAAAGCTCTGTTCTAAATTTTGCTGTTTGGTTACTGTTTGATTGGTTCTGGGCATTGTTTCATAGCTGTGACTGCTGCTGCTTGGCTACTGATCTCACATTTCTTACTTCCTCTCATTTTCCAGGTATGCTTCAGCATTTGAATAGCATATGAGATGTAAAGAGAAGCCATGTAGTTGATTTAGATAGTGAATAAAATGGCCTCTGTTTTTAAATGATTTGTTCATTGTGTTTTCTTGTCTAAATTAGCTTGATTACCTGGACATTATTGTATTCAGTCATGACTTATGCTGTATATTTTAGGAAGATGCTTGAACTTTGGTTTTGTTATTTTAATTCTAGATTAGATGAACTCCTTCTCAAATACTTGTGTGTTGGGACTGTTATGAATGGAATTTAGTGAGTGTTGTTGTTATTCGAGCTAATAGTTTGAGTCTTGCATCTTTCATTTATGTTTAGGTTTGATCACATGAATTGCTCGTTGGAATTGTTGCTGGAAACTCTGTGGTTCAGTATTAAAATTAAGTAATGTTTGGTTGATTGTGAAATGCATATGGTTTTATCATCAGTAGGGTGGGTTGTTAATGCCAAAATTAACATGTGTTAAAGAATAGTTTGGGTCCTTGTTCACCTCGACATTTCTTGTAGTCAGGCATAAGGCTTTGGGTTCTCAATATGGTTAGTGTTGAATAATGGATAAAGTTTCCTAGCTAATACATATAGTGTGTTAATACTAATTAATTCAGGTTTTAATTGTAGTTTATCTTGAATTGTAATTCATTTTAGCATAAAATATGTGCTGTTGAAAATTGGCCTTAATTCAATGCTGGCCGTGCCTGCGTGAGTTCGATCCGCGAGCCCAGTATAGGCGTGATTTCATTGAGGCCCGCGCTCCTCTCATGGGCTTGAATCTGAAGAGACTTGTAAAAATCAAAATAACATATTTTGGGCCTACTGAGTTTCGCTAGCCCAATTCCCTCGTTTGTTTGGTTGTTAATAACAAATTCAGTTCGGGCTTTAACATTGAGTATATGTTGAACTCCTGGGGTTTCTTTTCTTTCGTAATTAATTAAGTTCACTAAATGAATTGGAGGCGAGCCACATTAGACGAATCATAATTTGTGGCCCTTACGGGTTAATTCTTAAACTTTTGGTTAAAATAAATCGAGGTGTGCCGTGCCGGACAAAAATCTCAATTGCATGGCCCTCGTTTAATTAATCTTGTTTATCCTTAGAAATCGAGGCGTGCCGTTTAGCGAATTTTCATGGCCCTCGCAAAGTTGCAAACGCGTAGTTGCTTTAGGCGCGTTACTTTAATAATTTACCTTCCTAAACTCGGGTGCGCATTTATGTGACCCAAATCCAAATCTCAACAATGTTAAATAAAACGTGTCTCGGACTGTGGTACATTTCATATGGCGTGGTCCAAAGACGTGTTTTAGATGACGTTGAAATCTCCCTAAAATTAATTAAAGCGGTTTTAAAGTTAAAATGCACATAGGTTCAAAAATATTTTAAATTAGATAAATAGGCCAATAATAACACTTGAGAGACCGTGCTATAACCACGGAACTCGGGAATGCCTAACACCTTCTCCCGGGTTAACAAAATTCCTTACCCGGATTTCTGGCTCGCGGACTGTATTACAGAGTCAATCTTTTCCTCGATTCGGGACTTGAACCGGTGACTTGGGACACCATTAAACTATCCCAAGTGGCGACTCTGAATTTTAATTGAAATAAATCCCATTTCGATTGTCCTTTAATTGGAAAAACTCCTTTATACCCTTCCGGGTGTAGTAAAAGGAGGTGTGACAGCTCTGGCGACTCTGCTGGGGACCGAACCCAGAATCTCTGGTTTAGGGTTCAAGAATTTGAGCTTAGAATAACTGTTATCTTCGGCTTTATTTATTATCTGGTTTTATTCACATGTTTGGGCATAATGTGCTAAATGTTGCTTTTTACCGCTTTGATATTGTTGAATTGTATATAAAATTGCTACGAATTCCTCCTCTCTCTGAGTCTTCTAAATCATTTGAGAAGTGTGCACTTCCTGTGACTTCTTTTCCGTTAGAGTCATATCCCAAATTTAGAACGAGGTTCGGACAAGTTGCAAAGCCGGTGAAGCTTCTGTATTTCCGGTATGCTGCCCCCCCGGCTCGAGTTGTCCGCTCGGGTAAGCCAGGTCTAGAACAATAAATCCAGGTTTTCAAACCTAGTATAACATAGCCTCATGCCGGATTCCTAGTAGGAGCGCTTGCTTGCATCATGTGCATTTTGACCTTGGGGACTCAACATAGGGGTTGGGTCCGTCTAGGACAGGTGTACCCAAAATAACAGACCATCTTGATGCATCCTATGTGCTACATGTTGCATTTCTTCAAGGGTAAAAGGGTCATTTGGCGGACCAATGATAATTGAGGGTGAATGAAAAAAAAGAGGTTGAAGTGTGAAGATAAAGCGAGTAGGGCTCAATTATGTTTTCTGTCACATTTTTGTTAAGGAAAAAAAAGAGCTTGAAAAAAAAAAGATTTGCACTTTTTTTTTTATCATTTTTCGAAAAATCAGAAAATCAAAAAAAAAAAAGAGAAAAGAAAATCCA